TTCTCTTTTCAGTATAGACTGAGTGAATTCAGGGAACGAATTATCAATTGGAATGACCCATTCTTCCACGATTGATAGAAGGGTCCGAAAGAGAATGTGAACAGAATCCTCTAAATACTCAATACAATACTTTGGTTGCAACGGGATGCTTAAATCAATTCTGTCGTATCTGTCGTTTATGACGATGTTCATTAGAACCAAAGGGGGTGAGAGCATCGGTCAAATGCCATCCAATTTGGGTTCAAGTGAAATGGAAACTCGGGGACTGCGCCTACCTGATGGACCGCAAGAAGGGTGAAACCGGTCATGGAATGTCCAAGAATTTTCATCAGAATTAGGAGTATGGTGTTACGCCCAGTTGTGAACAGTTTTCCGCCAGAAGTACATGAGATATGAGCACCGAGAGGAAAGACGTGAATTTATTATCCCTGAGACCAAATGGATGTGCAACAATGAATTCATGGTGCTTCCTTTGATCAGTTGCCTGATAATTTTCTGCTACATTAAATGGAAGATTGAAACACTATAACATAGCATCGCAATGACTGACTATGGTCAGTCTTGATATTAAGAGTCAACTTATCTGTTTCCATCCCAAAACAGCGTGTTATTGTTCATTTTCTATGATCTTCGCTGTGAAAGTTGAGAGTACAACATAGTATTATGTGATTATGATATTATATTGGACACAGACACATGGAGAATCACTCAAAAGTGGCAGGGTAGTGGTGAAGGAAGACATTACGTTCAAGACTCCATTTCGCACCCTATAAGTTTTTCAGCCACCCAGTCGTTTTATTGAACCTCAAAATGCAAATCAAATTCCTGGATATGGAGTATATATATATATATATATATATATCAGATAAGTAAACATCAATCGTTCACAGAATAAATCTAGGCTGCTGGAAGAAGGGCACGCTAACTTCTGTTTACCTGCTGTTCATCTGTTCACTTGGTAGGGTTGCATCGAATTTGCACACGCGCGTAGACTTGACAAGCAGAAAAGTGAGGGAGAAGGCTGTAATTATGCGAAACGATCCGATGGTCCAGTTGGCTCAGCAACGGTTTAAGTGAATACCGAATGACTGTTATTTTGTACATCGGCGTTTGCTTGGTTCCTTTGACCATATTGTCGAGTAGTTTGAGGCCAAAAAGGATGTAGTAAATCATGATCGAGCTGGACATAAGCAAGGTCACTCCGAACACATCTTACTCAAGAGAAGCAGTTGTACTCATGTTGACTAGCGCAAACGGGTAGAAAGAGTGAGTATACGACCAAATCTTGCTGAATCCATTTAATGTTTACAT